ACCCGACCCCAGCACGACCCTACCCCAGCAAGACCACACCCCAGCACGACCACACCACAGCACGACCTCACCACAGCACGACCACACCCCAGCACGACCACGCCCCAGCACGACCACGCCCCAGCACGACCACGCCCCAGCACAACCACCCCCCCGCACGACCACCCCCCCAGCACGACCACACCCCAGCACGACCACCCCCCAGCACGACCACACCCCAGCACGACCACTCCCCAGCACGACCACACCGCCTTGGTTGAGTGGTTGCCTGTCGTCGTGAATGTTTCGTGGGGTGTCTCGTGGAATGTTTCGCGGGGTGTCTCCTGGAATGTTTCGTGAGGTGTCTCGCGGAATGTTTCGTGAGGTGTCTCGTGGGATGTTTCGTGAGGTGTCTCGTGGGATGTTTCGTGAGGTGTTGCCCCGTTGGGTATCGTGAAAACGTGTCCATGCTCCACATGTCTATATCCCTTTCCGGGTTCGTGGGTCCATCATGTTTTCGCAATGTTCGGCCTCGGGGGGCCCTTGCCGGGCCTTCGGGACCGTCGAAATAAACTCGGGACGAAAAACCGATCCCGGGGAAGGGGGCGAGATCTCTTGGGGTCGACGTTGCGACAAAAATCACGACGCCGGGTGTCCTGGAAGAGGGGGGTTCTATCCCGAGGAGGGGTCGGGGAGCGAAGCCAGCTGGATGCTCATGTTTCCTGCTTCCGGGATCCGTCTCGTCGGCGTCACCCCAACATACCTCATACTGTGTGGTCGCCGCCCTCCCAGGGGCGACGCGCGCGCGCGCCGAGAAATCTTACAGTATAAGCTCCGTGGCGGGCGCTTCCTGGCCGCACCGCTGGGGAAACGATCTACTACAAGATGCTTCTGCTAGGCGTTCGGGCCGGGCGCACGCCTCAAAGGCGGACGTCCACTGGTAACTCGTAGGTCCTTGCGCGTCCCGTTTGGCTCGGCTTTCTTACCCACCCCGGGTCCCGGGCCCGACCGGGGCTTCGCCAGGGGGAGGGCTATCCCACGGTGGGGGTAGAGAGCCCAGACCCCCGACGTCATGATTTTTCATGGCGCGACCCCCAGAGGTCCAGCCATACCCACTCCCCAGGACTGGTTTTGCATCCTGAGTCGTTCTTCGACGGTCCCGAGGCCCGGCGAGGGCCCCCGCATGCCGAAATTAGCGCAAAACCTCCCGTCGTGATTTTCTCATATTGCGAGGGGGTCTGGGAACGAGCCCAGCTGGATGCTCACAGTTCCTCCTCCCGGGAGCCGCTTGGAGCGACTCTCTTCCCGGCCCCACCTCTTTTCCCTACGCTTAAGTCGGGCATGTCCCTGTACAGGAGGAATATTCAAGAATAGTAAAACCATAGCCTGGCAAAGAACCCAACCATATGCAGCTGTGGGCACCGCAATTATGGACATCGTCTTCCGTGAAAGCTCCCTCTGGGCCACGAAACGTTGTACTGGGTGGGGGAGACGCATGCGAACTTTGCCATTGGGGCCTTCTGTGGAGCTCCTCATGGGGCCACGAAGCGCTGTACTGGGCGGGGGGGACGCATGCGAACTGCGCCACTGGGACCTTCGGTGGAGCTCCCTATCGGGCCACGAAGCGCTGTACCGAGTTGGGGAGACACATGCGAACTGCGCCACTGGGACCTTCGGTGGAGCTCCCTATCGGGCCACGAAGCGCTGTGCTGGGTGGGGGAGACGCATGAGAAATGCGCCACTCGGACCTTCGGTGGAACTCCCTATGGGGCCACGAAGCGCTGTCCTGGGTGCGGGGGGGACGCATGGGCCACGAAGCGCTGTACCGGGCGGGGGAGACGCATGCAAACTGCGCCACTGGGACACGAAACGCTGTACTGGATGGGGGAGACGCATGTGAACTGCGCCAATGGGACCTTCGGTGAAGCTCCCTCACTGGGACCTTCGGTGGAGCTCCCTATGGGGCCACGAAGCGCTGTATTGGGCGGGGGAGACGCATGCGAACTGCGCCACTGGAACCTTCGGTGGAGCTCCCTATGAAGCCACGAAGTCTGTGAGGAGGGGGAGGAGGAGGAGGAGGAGGAGGAGGAGGAGGAGGAGGAGGAGGAGGAGGAGGAGGAGGAGGCAGGAGGAGGAGAGGAGGAGGAGGAGGAGGGGGAGGAGGAGGAGGAGGAGGAGGAGGAGGAGGAGGAGGAGGAGGAGGAGGAGGAGGAGGAGGTGGAGGAGGAGGAGGAGGAGAAGGAGGAGGAGGAGGAGGAGGAGCAGGGGGAGGAGGGAGGAGGGAGGAAGAAGGAAGGAGGAAGGAGAACGCGGGGCGCTGTCTCTTCAAAAACGAGGACCCAACACCACAGGATGGTTAAGAAATAGTGCGGGGACGATGTTCTAACAATGTTTGAACTTGTTTACTACTTTTGATTTTTCTTCCTAACTTCGCCTGTAGGAGGACATGCCCGACCTAACCCTACGCCCCCCGCGGCCCGAGAGCAGGCCCCAGGGGCCGATGGTCGTCGAGGAAGAACGGCCCGGGCCGGCGACAAAGGGAAAAAAAACAGATCGCCGGAGGCTTGGGCTCGTTGCCCCCTCCCTGCCCCCACTGCGATCGGGTGCGGCCAGCACACCGGCATGCTCGCATCGTGCAAACCTCAGGACGGAGGTGCTTCGTAGTTTTCTGCCTCTGGAGGCCCTCGCCGGGCCCCAGGACCATCAAAAACCATTCAGGGTGAAAAACTGGTCCCGGGGAAAGGGTCAGGACTTCTGTGGACGCCATATTGAAAACATTTGGACGTCGCATGTTTGGGAAGAGGGGGGTTGATGACAAAGGGGTGTGGGGGGCGATCTCGTGGACGGGGCCACGATGTCTCCTCCGATCTCGTGGCCCCTCTTTTCCCGGAAAGGGCTTTGGCCCAGGGTTCTCTTTTAGTAGGTAAACCTGTCCCCCGGTGCCAACTTGAGGGAGGCCGGCGAATTTTTTCCCTGATAAATAACGAGGTCGAAGGAGGCCGGCGAATTAAATTTTGAGGATGTCTCGAGCGAAACGCTTGTTTTGAAATCCCGATCGATAAATCAACAGGGGGCGGGCGGCCACTTTTTCGTGTGTTGGAGGATTGTCTCGAGCGCCAAAACGTTGCTCCGCAGAAGTTTGACGAGGTGTCGAGCGAAACGCTTGTTTTGCAGAGCCGACCGCCGACGCGGGAAAAGCGCCCCGCCCCCGTCCCCTGCAAGGGAATTTCGATGATGTCTCGACTAATTCGTTTGTTTTTGTACGATTTCCTGGAATTTTGGCAGGATGTCTCGAGCGAAATGCACGAACCCACCCTAGCACGACCATACCCCAGCACGACCACACCCCAGCACGACCAGACCCCAGCACGACCCCACCCCAGCACGACCCCACCCCAGCACGACATACCCCAGCACGACCACACCCCAGCACGACCCGACCCCAGCACGACCCTACCCCAGCAAGACCTCAACCACCGCACGACCAAGCCCCCCAGCACGACACGCCCCCAGCACGACCACGCCCCAGCACGACCACGCCCCCCAGCACGACCACCCCCCAGCACGACACCCCCCCCAGCACGACCACCCCCCAGCACGACCACCCCCCAGCACGACCACACCCCAGCACGACCACTCCCCTGCACGACCACACCCCAGCACGACCACACCCCAGCACGACCACACCCAGTCGCACCCCCGTGGAATGTTTCGTGGCGTGTCTGGTTGAGTGGTTGCCTGTTCGTGGGGTGTCTCGTGGAATGTTTCAAAGGGTGTCTCGTGGAATGTTTCGTGAGGTGTCTCGTGGATTGTTTCGTGAGGTGTCTCGTGGGATGTTTCGCGGGGTGGCACGACCACGCCCCAGCACGACCACCCCCCCAGCACGACCACCCCCCAGCACGACCACCCCCCCAGCACGACCACCCCCCAGCACGACCACTCCCCAGCACGACCACACCCCAGCACGACCACTCCCCAGCACGACCACGCCCCAGCACGACCACACCCCAGCACCACCACACCCAGTCGCACCCCGTGGAATGTTTCGTGGGGTGTCTGGAGTGAGGGGTGCCGCCAGGCAAACGCTCGCGTGGAATGTTTCAAAAGGGTTGTCTCGTGAATGTTTCGGTCGAGGTGTCCGTGGAATGTTTCGTGAGGGGTCTCGGGAGTCTCGTGGGATGTTTCGCGGGGTGTCTCGTGGGATGTTTCGTGAGATGTCGCCCAGTTGGGTATCGTGAAAACGTGACCATGCTGCACATGTCTTTATCCCTTTCCGGGTTCGTGGGTCCATCATGTTTGTTTCCTACTAGTACCCCCTCCCCTGGGCCGCACACGTGCCTCGGGCCATGAGCTGCGAGCCCCCCTCTTGTCGGAGGACGCCACTTGCAACCATCCTGGGCACAGTCACCCCGCATAGTTGGGGTGGGCAACCTTGCCAAGGGCACCCTTGCATCCTTGCCCCTTTGGGCGGCGAGCGGGGGTGGGGGGAAGTGAGAAGGAGAAGACCTTCTAAGGAGGTTCGGAAGTCCCCCGGCCTTCTGAGGAGTTTTCTAAGCCTTCCCCGAAGACAGGAACAATTTCTCAGAAGGCGCGAGGGCTTCTGAGAAGTCCCGCCGCCTTCTGAGAAGGCCTTTTCCGTCTCTCTACCCCCCCTCGCCTCGCTCGCCGCCAGCACTTCGGCCCATCCTTAGCGACCTCTCGCCCACCTCGCTCGAAAAACTCCAGCACGGGCCTCCGAGGCCCCCTGCACCCTTGCCGCGCAGCCTCACGGCACGGGCTGACGCTGCCACCTGTGCGCCAGGGGCGAGGCCGGGCCCGGGATCGGCGCCAGGGCGAGGCTGCCCAGATGGTCTGGTACCGGAAACTTTCGGTAGCGATTTCGACGCACCCCGAGTTTCGGTAGCGACCGGATCTTCGTTTGAGGGCGTTGAAATCGCGGATTTCAGAACGGTCTGTCGGGCCGGGCGAAAGGGGGGGATTGGGAAAGGGGGGGTTACGAAATTTGCTGCATGCAGCTGGTTTCGGCTTCACCGAGGGGCCCATTCCTCGATACATGGCCGCCTCTGGCGCCGGGAGGCGCCGTGAAAATCAGCTACGTGAGCTGATTCTCAAACCCCGACCCGAGTCTGATACCGGTATGGGGCGCTACATTTCGGTATTTCGGTAGCGACCGATCTCTGCGGAGCGCTACCGGAAATGGTCGGTATAGCGGACCATCAGGGTGGGCCCGGGATCGGCGCACACGCCTCCTCGTGCCCGAGCCAGGAGGGCGTACGGTAGGTTTGCGTCGTGTCGACCAGCGGCGACCCCAGCGCGGGCGTTCAAGGTTGAACGCCGCCGGCGACCCAGAATCGATCGATGTTGAACGATCGGACGTTGCGGCAGCGGCCGATCGTTCAAGGTTGAACGATCCCTGCGGTGTCAAAAACCAACGCTGGGGTCGGCACGACACGAACCTGCCGTATACGCCGCCGAGGCCGGCCCCCTCGAGTCATAGAACGAAAATCGCGACGGGAGGTTCTTCACTGTGTGTTCCGCCTCTGGGGGCCCTCGCCGGCCCTCGGGGCCGTCGGCAGACGACTCAGGATGAAAGACGGGCCCCGGGGAATGGGTCCGGACCTTTGGGGGTCGCGTCACTGCGATCGTCGCCCTGCTTTATTCTCGGATCGCGCAGATAGTAAATTATGTATAAGCTTGTTATGAGCTGGCTATGAGTATGGTTATGTGAATATATGCGAGTGGGAAACGTTACATGTGGATAACGTTGGACAGGTTTGGGAAACACACTTAGCGAATCACTTAGCATCGGCCACGCTATCCACTTGCAGCCAACTGAGCCAGGCAATCCGGTCTAACTTAGAACGATTTGGTATGCAAGTTGGATAAGTGGTTAGCTCGGTCAGCTAACCAGGATGGCTAAGTAGGTTAGCCCGATTCGCTCAGTAGGTTAGAGCGCTGATGCTGTACTCGTGTTTGCTGTTGCATGCTGTTGTTCGTATGCTGGTTATGCTGGTATGCATGTAGTGTCCGTTGTTTGTGTTTGTTGTTTTGTTTGTTTGTTTCGGCGCTGCTCTGTTTGTCGTGCTGTGTGTGCTTGTGTTTCGTTTTCGCATCGTTTCATTCGCCTGCTGTTGTTTTTTGCTTTTTCCCGGAAAGGGCATAGGCCCAGGGTTCTCTTTTAGTTTTGTTCCCCCCGGTTTTGACGGCTGTAGGGCCGGCGAATTTCTCTTGCGATAAATAACGAGGTCGCGTAGGGCCGGCGAATTAAAAATTGAGGATGTCCCTAGCGAAACGCTTGTTTTTCAGAATTTGTTGAGGATGTCTCGAGCGAGACGCTGGTTTTGCAGAGTTGGGGATGTCTCGAGCGAAACGCTTGGTTTCAGAATTTGTTGAGGATGTCTCGAGCGACGCGCTGGTTTTGCAGAGCCGACCGCGACGCGGAAAAGCGCCCCTCGCGCAGGAATTCCAAGGATGTCTCGCGCGTGCCGCGCCCCGCGCGCGGGTATTTGGATGTCTTGGGATTTTGACAGGATGTCTCGAGCGAAGCGCTTGTTTTTCATAATTTGTTGAGGATGTCTCGAGCGAAACGCTGGTTTTGCAAAATTGGAGGATGTCTCGAGCGGTGGCCTCGTGGGGGGGCCAGAATTCAAAGGATGTCCCAGGCGAACTGCTTGTTTTCACGTCCCGCTCGCAGGAATTCCGAGGATGTCTCGCGCGTGCAGCGTCCCGCGCGTAGGAATTCAGATGATTTTGACAGGATGTCTCGAGCGAAACGCTTGTCCCCAGCACGGTCCGTAGCGCGTCCCCTTGGCAGGTCCCGCGATGCGTCCCCATGGCACGTCCCTTGGCACGTCGCTTGGCGCGTCCCTTGAGACGTTCTGCGTCGCGTCCTCCTGGCATGTCCCCCTGTCCATTAGCTCTGGGGCAGCTACTATGTGTTCAGGCAGCTCGAGCTTAAGATCCAGATCAGTTCGGTCAGGACTCGGATGCAAAGGAGAACTCGATCCACGAGGCTATAGAGCACAATCGCGCCATGGCACATCGCAATTCAGCACGGCGCAGCACAGCACTGATTTCGGCACGGTACATCAAGGTCGATGCACTCAGCATTGCAACTTGGCACGTTCCTAGGCACGTTCCGTGGGGCGTCCTTTGGCGAGTCCCCCTGGCACGTCGCGTCGCGCGTCCCCTGGCACATCCCGTGGCACATCCATTGGCACGTTCCGTAGCGCGTCCCCTTGGCACGTCCCGCGGTGCGACCCATGGCACGTCCCCTGGCACGTCGCCTGGCGCATCCCTTGGGACGTTTCGCGGCGCGTCCTCCTGGCATGTCCCCCTGTCCATTAGCTCTGGGGCAGCCAATATGTGTTCAGGCAGCTCGAGCTTAAGATCCAGATCAGTCGGTCAGGACTCGGATGCAAAGGAGGACTCGATCCACGAGGCTATAGAGCACAGTCGCGCCATGGCACATCGCAATTCAGCACGGCGCAGCTCAGCACAGCCCTCGGCAGGGTACATCAAGATCGATACCTTCAGTATTGCATTTGCCCGTCACCCAATCAGGTGTCTTTGAAAACGCTGCCATGTGTTACAGTTCTACATTCCTTTCCGGGTTCGTGGGTCGATCATGTTCATGTTCTGATCGTGTCTTAAACGCCGCGTCGCAAAGACATAGCCAGTACCGTTATGGATTTGGAATAAGGCATGTCGTCGGTTCCTCTGCAGAGCCCCGAGGCTCCTGCGAGCAACGAGTTTCTGCGATTGGCGGCGCGCGTGATATCAAGGCATAGCAAACGCAGCAACAAACAACATGTTTTCGAACCAAGTTTTGACAGGCAGTAGTGCAACACCCCACCCTAACAAAACCAACCACGTTAAGCAAACAAGCTTCCTCAGGACAGCGGAACACCTAACTAAGACTTGGACAATAAGTACTCTATAACAATACATCAGCTACTCTGGAACAATAAACGACAATCTTCAACTTGGGCCGTCTTGGGGTGGTCCTCCCCCCCCCCCCGTAGGCGGCAGGGCCGAACTGGATTGGGAGTCGGGCAGCCTTGCCGAGTGCGCCATTGGGCGGAGGCCCGACCGAGGGAAGCCCTGCTGCCTGCGGCGGAGGGGGGGGGAGCTCCAGTGCTGCCTCTCGACCACTGCCTCTGCACCGTTGTGGTTTCATCCCGAGTCCCTGGGACGGTCCCAGAGCCCGGTGAGGGCCCTGAGAGGCCGAAGCCAGCCGAAGCCTCCGCCTCGATGTGTTCGAGGCGCCGGATGTCTGGGGACGCCCCCCCAGTGGGCGCCCCCGATACGAGACGCCTCAGGACGGCGCAGGCGTGGCACTGCTCGCCCCCGCGGAGCAGTCGGCCACCCCGCGCGGCCGGGAGGGGGCGCGCGCCGAGCTGCGGGCGCGGGTGCGGGCGCTGGAGGCCGAAGGCGAGAAACTCGGACGCTTTCGGACGTGCTCGCCGGACGTCTTCACACTCAGACCCCCTCGCGTTGCGAACAGATCACGACGTGAGGTTTTTCGCTATTCTTCGGCTTCTGGGGGCCCTTATCGGGCCCCAGGACCATCAAAAGACGATTCAGGCTGAAAAACCGGTTTCGGGGAATGGGTCGAGACCTCTGAGGGTCGACATCGTGAAAAATCACACCGTCGGGGGTCTGGGGAGAAGGCCTTCTCAAAAGGCGGCAGGGCTTCTCAGAGGCCGTCCAGCCTCCTGAAAGGTTTTGCGTGTCTTCGGGGAACCCTGACTCTCCACCTTCCACACCTTCCGACCAGCAGTTGGCTGTGTCAGTGATCTTCTCGAGGGGCAGAGAAGTGGCATACACGAAAACTGTCAGAGCTCCGCGCGGAGCTCCAACAGTGCATGTTTACGCAACTTTCTGCCCCGCGGGAAGGTAAGAGAATCAACCGCCTGTCCGAGCCTTCTGAGAAGGCCTTCTCTAACTCGCTTCCCCCCCGGGCGCGCCGCCTGCACACGTTTCCGAATGTTTTTTCCCAGGTCTTCGACGAGCCTCGGGCCCCAGATGACCTTCGCAGATCCGTCCGGCGCGAAGAGTGCCGCGGAACGGGAACGTTGGGCCCAGACCCCGTCGAGTCATGAAAAAATCTCGACGGGAGGCTCTTTGCCATTTTCGGCCTCCGGGGGCCCTTACCAGGCCCCAGGACCGTCAAAAAGCGACTCCGGATGAACAACCGGTCTCGTGGAATGAGTCGAGACCTCTGAGGGTCGACGTCGAGAACAAATCAAGACGTCGGGGGTCTGCAGAACCTTGGGATCTGGGGCTCGGGTGGTGATTTTTCGCGCCGTTGCAGTTTCGCCGCAACCTCGGATCTCCTCCGGAGAGATGCGGGGCTCCTGGTTTTCGAGTTTTCGTCGCTTTTTTCGGCGGTTCTCCCAGCCTCGGGGTGCTCTCCAGCAGCTGCGCCTCGTCGAGGGCGTTCGGGGAGCGCCTGGATCTTCCCGAACGGGCGCCAGAGACCGGAGTCATGGCCCCAAAGCGACCCAGACCCCAGAGGAGGAAAGGTACTGATTCCGCTGCTCGTCCTGGAGGGCCCTTGTCGCCACGGCTGGATTCTCGAATTTCTAATCAGAACGCATCCCAGAAGAGGTCTGGGCAGTAGCGGTATTGGCACCCTCTGTGTCACCCCGAGATTTGCGACTGACGATGTGTTTTTCCTTACATATTATTTCAACGCCTCCTACTCCTCCTTCTTCCTCTTTTCCTCCCCTCTCCTCCTCATACCCAGACTTACTCATACACAGACTGACTCACACTCAGACTTACTCATACCCAGACTTACTCACACACACACACACACACACAAAATTACTCATACTCAGACCTACTCATACTCAGACCTACTCCTATTCAGACTTACTCATGCTGAGGCTCACGCACGCCCCGTTCGCGGCCGTTTTGTGGGGATGCCTCAGGCGGTTTGCCTGTTTTCTGTCCCAGCATCCTTCGCTTTCGGAGCAGATTTGGAGGATGTCTCGAGGGAGGCCCTTCATTTTCACGTCCCTAAGGGGAGCCGCCGAGGGGTACTGCACGCCCCCGTTCGCGGCTGTGTTGTGGGGATGTCTCAAGCGGTTTGCTTGTTTTCCGTCCCAGCATCCTTCGCTGTCGGAGCAGATTTGGAGGATGTCTCGAGCGAGGCACTCATTTTCACGTCCCTAAGGGGAGCCGCCGAGAGGTATTGCACGGTCCCGTTCGCGGCCGTTTTGTGCGGATGTCTCAAGCGGTTTGCTTGTTTTCTGTCCCAGCATCCTTGGCTTTCGGAGCAGATTTGGAGGATGTCTCGAGCGAGGCGCTCATTTTCACGTCCCTAAGGGGAGCCGCCGAGGGGTATTGTCACGGTCCCGTTCGGGCTGTTTTGTGGTGTGTCTCATAGCGGAGTTTGCTTGAATTCTGCCACCAACATCCTTCGCCCTTCTCTTCTTTGTATTTCTGTTTATGTTTTATGTTGTTTGATTGTTATTTTTTTTTGTCTGCTGTTCTTCTTTTTCTATGACTTCTACTTAATTTTTGATCCATTTTTTTCTTCTTGTCGTGCTTTTGTTGTTTAATTTGTTTGTTTTTTTTTCTTTTTTTATCTTCTTTTCTCTTCTTCCTTGTATTTTCATTTTCGTTCGTTTTAACCTTTTTTTTTTGTCTGTCGGAGCAGATTTGGAGGATGTCTCGAGCGAGGCGCTCATTTTCACGTCCCTAAGGGGAGCCGCCGAGGGGTATTGCACGGTCCCGTTCGCGGCCGTGTTGTGGGGATGTCTCAAGCGGTTTGCTTGGTTTCTGTCCCAGCGTCCTTCGCTTTCGGAGCAGATTTGGAGGATGTCTCGAGCGAGGCGCTCATTTTCACGTCCCTAAGGGGAGCCGCCGAGGGGTATTGCACGGTCCTGTTCGCGGCCGTTGTGTGGGGATGTCTCAAGCGGTTTGCTTGCATTCTGTCCCAACATCCTTCGCTGTCGGAGCAGATTTGGAGGATGTCTCGAGCGAGGCGCTCATTTTCACCCCCGTGGGCCAGATTTTGAGGATGTCTCGATCGATTTGCCTGTTTTGGTGGCCAGACTCGTGGGCACAGGAGGCTCCAGGAGGCCCCAGGAGACCACATGAGGTCCCAGGAGGCATCAGGAGGCCACAGAGAGATTCAAAAGGCCACAGGATGTCCCAAGAGGCTCCAGGAGGCCCCAGGAAGCTCCAGGAGGCCTCAGGAAGCCACAGGAGGCCCCAGGAGGCCACAGGATGCGCCAGGAGGCCTCGGAAGGCAACAGGAGGCCCCGAGAGGCCCCAGGAGCAGGAGGCCTCAGAAGGCAACAGGAGTGGCTCCAACCCCATGTGTTTTACGTACGCTCCTGTAGACTGGGCCTCGCCTGGAGCACGAATCCTTGACGTTATACGTATGTCCCTATAGATTCTCCTTCTCCAGTGTCCACAATCCTAACTGTTTTATTTAATCGCTTCGCTCATGCCGCCGGCCCTGGAGCCCTCTTTAGGGCCTCTTGGGGGCCTCTTGGGGACCTCTTGGGAGTCTCTTGGGGCTCCTTGGCGGCGTTTTGGAGGCCCCCAGGGCCTCTTGGGGGGCTCTTGGGGGTAGTCGATTGCGGCTCCCCCCTCGGAGGCCACGATCCTCGTGAGGGGTGTCGAAAAATACCCTCCCCTGGAGTGGTCTGGTGGCTTCTCCCGGGCTTCTCTCGGGACCTTGCCGGGGTACTTTTCGTCCGGGGGCCCCCAGGGGCCGCTCCGCGCGCGCGAACTAGAAATATTGTTAACAAGTTACCGGAGATCTTAGCACGCCTCTGGCCCGTTGGGCCGGCGAATTTATGTTCCTATATCCAGGGCCTCTCCCGGGGCACGAGTCCTTGGTGTTTTGCGTGTATCCTTATATATATATATATATATATATATATATTGCCCTTCTCTTGCGGCTCCAATCCGCAATGTTTTATGTACGTCTGTTGCTATGTATTGGGCCTCTCCTGGGGCACGAATCCTCCCTAGGAGGTCCCAGGAGGCCCCAAGGGGCCCCTGGAGGCGCCAGGAAGCCCCAGTAGGTTTCAGGAGGCCCCAGGAGGCCCCAGGCTCATGCGCATAGGCGCGCTCGTACTACTGAGGCTCATACACACTCCAATTCATTCGCAGTTAGATTCATGGCCAAACAGTCACAACTGAAGCCAGCTTATATTCGAAAGCTCTTGCGCCGAGACACTCACGGCGGACAGGTCCATGCGAATAGATGCACATATGGGGAGCTCCACGCAGTGAGTAATTTCAATCCCGGCGATTTCCTCAACTTCGGCTTCAAAGGCCCGTCATTGGGCCCCAGACTATCAAACATGGGTCCGGGATGCAAAACTTCAGGGGCAACGATAGGGGGTGGACAGGCATAGGGGGGACGCACCCCCAATCGCCCAGTGATCGCCGATAGGGGCCCGATAGCCCCAACCTGCACAGGGATGTGCGGATTCACAGTCGGGGGCCTATCGCCGATCTATCGGCGATGTCCTCCTCCTCCTCCTTCTCCTCCTTCTCCTCCTCCTCCTCCTCCTCCTTCTCCTCCTCCTCCTCCTCCTCCTCCTCCTCCTCCTCCTCCTCCTCCTAGGTCGATGTTTCCCCCCTGTGCCAGTCCCTCCCTGGCGCTGCCGCTCCAAACTGCCTCCTGGGGGAGTTGTCGGGACGTCTTTGGCCGCGGACTGAAACAAAAACGGCCGCGGAGCACTCCGAGGACCCTCGGGGGCCCTCGGGGGCCCTCGACGTTGTCGCCGTCGCCGCCGTGGCGATGGTGGTGGTGGTGGTGGTGGTGGTGGTGGTGGTGGTGGTGGTGGTGGTGGTCGTCGTCGTCCGCGGATGTCTGGGGAGTCTCGAGGGGACGCCGCCGAGACGAGCCCCTTGGCGTGTGATTCCTTGCTGCCTGTGCGCGGGAGCCTGGTGTTTTTTTTCTGCCCCCAGAAGGGGCACGCGGATGGGTTCTCCACGGCCTCGGCATCGCTCGGGCCCGTGCATCTTTTCTCGACAAGGACCATCGAGGAGCATTTTTGTTCAGCGTGCGAAAAAAAGACACGCATCAAACCGAAAAATGCACAGGGACGTCCGAGCGATGGCGAGCGGCGGCGTGTCATTGGTACTGCTTTCCCAGACCCCCTCGCGCTGTGAAAGATCACGGCGGGAGCTTCCGGGGGCCCTCACCGGGCCCCTGGACCGCCAAAAACCAGCCAGCATGAAAAACCGGTTCTGTGGAAGTGGTCCAGACCTCTGGGGGTCGACGTTGTGAAAAAGTCACGACGTCGGGGTATGGGTTCGGCTTTCCCCTACTGGCACAAGCACACAAACACACACACACACACTCACACACACACACACACACCTCAGTTGCCCTGATACGCCCGTTTGGAAACGCAACACGTGCCGTGTTGAAACCGTCCGTGTTAACACGCTGCGTCTTGGCTCAACGTGCTGGCCCACGTTCTGGCGAACGCGTCGGACGACGCTCTGGAGCCGACAGCTTCTCCCAGGGACCTTCGACACTTGTGATGATTGTGCAGACTTCTCTGCTTCCCTGCGAGGACCGGCACGCCAGCCTCCGCGAGGGCCACCGGGCCCTGATGGAGAAGCTGCAGAGCCTCTGAGGGGGCGCGCGCGCGCGCGCATCCTCGCCCGCTGGCCTCCCCCGCGTCGTGGGCAGTCTTTCGGCTGGGGCAACTCCGTTCCAGAGCGTTCCAGGAAGGCGTTCCAGAACGCTATGAGAAGGGCGCGGCGCCCGAGACATCTTCCAGATCCGCGGTGTCTCAGAGATTCTCGATGTAAGGCCCAGCGGCCGCGGCGGTGGCGGGGGCTGCAGCGGAGGAGGAGGAGGAGGAGGAGGAGGAGAGGAGGAGGAGGAGGAGGACGAGGAGGAGGACGAGGAGGGACGGAGGAGGAGGAGGAGGAGGAGGAGCGAGGAGGAGGAGGAGGAGGAGGAGGAGGAGGAGGAGGAGGAGGAAGAGGAGGAGGAGGAGGAGGAGGAGGAGGAGGAGGGGGGGACGAGGTGGAGGAGGAGGAGGCTCCTTCAAATTGATTCTCGTCCTGGCTTCGTCTTAGTCTTCGGCCTCCGATGGGGCCGTTCTGGCTCGGCCCCTCGGGCCGTCGAGAGGCGGCTTTCCGGGAGGAAGAGCGGGTCCTGGGGAAAGGGCTCCAGACACTCGGGCGGGTGGTAAGGGCAGGAGGATGGAGGGGGGGATCGAGGAGGAGGAGGAGGAGGAGGAGGAGGAGGACGCGGAGGATGAGGAGGAGGAGGAGGAGGAGGAGGAAGAGGCGGACGAGGAGGAGGAGGAGGAGGAGGTGGAGGAGGTGGAGGGGGTTAGGGGGAGGATGAGACGGGGGGGAACCTAAATGGTGGGGAGAGGGGTGAAGAAAAAGACCCCAAAGGGGCCCTTTCGGGCCCCTGCTTTCGAAGAGCAAAAAACGGCATAAGCATAAGCTGTTGGCGGTCCGCGCGGATGTCTTGGATCTGCGCTCAGATGCAAGACATCCGAGTGGACCGTCAAAAGTTTACGTTCCAGCCATTTGTTGTTCCTCAACGCTTCCTCCAAAGGGCCCCTTTAGGGCCCTTTTATTATCCCCCTCCATGTAGATCACACCCCCATTATACTCGGACAGGGGATCGACTGCACAATCGGTTTACTCCAAAAGGTTTCCCCACCGAGTAGATAAGAAACGAGTAGAATGTTTGTAGATCTACGGGGCCTGACACGTGCTTCTTGGTCCACCGACCCGGCGGGCAAAACACCTTTGGGGTGAATCCATTCGGCAGTCGAGCTCCCGCTCGAAGCACCCTCCGCCCGAGACCTCTGGGCGCCCACGCGCCGTGAGCAACGGCACGACGTCGGGGTGTGCTGGGTCCTGCCGCGCGCCGTCCCGCCGCCCCCCCCTGTTTCCCGGGCGGGCCGCGGGGAGGATGCCGCCACTCCGCGGCCCCGGAGCTCCCGACCCCTTCCCCAGGGGCTCGAGCAGGGGATATCGACTGCAGAATCGACGTGTCCAGAGAATTGCCCTGTCCGCCGGATCCGCGAAGACAAACGACGCGCAGCATTCAGGAGGGAAAAAAACACACAGACACAATCAATCGTCAGGAAAATGCGGGAAAATATGGGAATTGGGCGGGAAGACAAATACCCAGAAAATATGGAAAAATATTGGGAATATTTTCATTTGTGTGTATTTATTTGTGTGTCCTGGGGCCCCTTGAAGCATGTTCGTGGAGCTGCGAACCTCGTGCGCGTGTCTTTGGTGCTGTCGGCGAGAAAGCCAGCTCTGGGGTACACCCATTCTGTAGACGATCCCCTGCTTGAAGGGTTCGTTTTGCGTCCCGGACTTCTTGTCGGATGGTCCTGGGGTCCGATAGCGGGCCCTGGAAGCAGAAGTCCGGGACAACCGCAAGGATGGACAGAACACTTTTACGTCGCGGCGCGGCATGGGGCATCCGCACGCGCGTCGGGGCGCGGGATGGGCACCACACACATCGGCGGAGATCTGGGTAATGCCCCTCCCCTTTGCGTCACGAGGCCTGTCTCCTGCTTGTTGCTCAGGGAGGCCTCCCGCAGGTCCGGCCGCAGAGCAGGTGGCTTGCCCCGCTGCGTGTGGCATCTCGACGAAGAGCGCGCGGCGATTCAAGCACACCTGCTGCCCAGGTGGCGCCGTGAATTCGGTGCCGCCCAATTCAGGCGGGGTATTAGATTTTTGCCTCTCGGAGGCGCACTTCTTCCAGACCCGGCCGTTGCCTTCAGTTGACAGAGGGCTGGCGACGGATTTTTTCCACGCATGATGATCGGCAAATGAATGCTATAGGCATAGACTCGGACGATTTGTTTCAACCGGCTTCTGCCAACTTGAGTTGGCTCTACACTAGCTGGCTCTGCCCGTGGGCTCGTCTGAAGCCTGCGGACCTACTCTCCCCAACCATGTAATGACATCCCTTCCGCTCCGCTTTCTCATTTCGACAAGCCTCTCTGCACTGCACTTCCTTGTAAAGAAATTAGTGCCGTCCGAACGGATCCCAGGCCCGGCCAAGCGCACTGGCAGCTAATTAGGAGGCGTGGAACAGCTGATCGAGCTAGCCAAGAATAACAGGACGGTCCAGGCCCGCGACCATCCTGATCGTGATCCAGCGGAGTACTTGACAGGGAGGGGAGGATGATAATGGGAGGGAGGGCAATGCTGATTATGAGGAGGAGGATGTGGGTAGAGGTGGGGAGCAGCTGCGGATGAGGCGGAGGAGGAGGAGAAGAGGGCGGAAGTGGAGGAGGAAACGGACGAGAAGACAGGGAGGATCGAGATGAAGATGTATATTAGAGAGATGATGCGGACGCGGAGGATGAGGAAAGGGAGTATGATGATGATGTTGATGCTGATGCTGATCCTGATGATGATGATGCTGATGCTGGTGATGCGGATCATGATGATGCTGATGATGCTGCTGCTGATGATGATGATAATGATGATGTGGAGAGGAAGGACAATGAAGATGAGAAGAGGAGAGGACGGCGAAATAAGAGAAAGAGATAGAGGAGACAGTGCAGGAGGGAATGATGCGCATGCCGAAATGGTGGAGCAGACGGAGGTTGCGGAGGAGGAGGAGAGAGGAGAGGACGAGGACGAGGACGAGGACGAGGACGAGGACGAGGACGAGGACGAGGATGATGATGATGATGATGATGATGATGATGATGATGATGATGATGATGATGATGATGATGATGATGATGATGATGATGATGATGATGATGATGATGATGATTGATGATGATTGATGATGATTGATGATGATGATGATGATGATGATGATGATGATGATGATGATGATGATGATGATGATGCTGATGATGATGATGATGATGATGATGATGATGATGATGATGATGATGATGATGATGATGATGATGATGATTATGATGGTGATGCGGGGGAGGAAGAGAGGAGGAGGGAAGGAGGAGGAGGAGGAGGGAGGAGGAGGAGGAGGAGGAGGGTGAGGAGGAGGAGGAGGAGGAGGAGGAGGAGGAGGAGGAGGAAGGTGGCCATCTTCCTCTCAATTGGGGGGGTTTTCCCCCACCCATGCCACCTCTGAAGGAGTCCCCAGCGCCCGCCCAAGATTCCCGTGCGTGCGATGGGGCTCAGGCGGCCCAGTGCGGGGTTGCCATCGGCCTACAACCCTCTCAGCGTGATGGGGACGCGCGCCCTGGCCAACTTCATCCTGTGCTTCATCGGCACGCAGAGGTGCGCGGTGTCGGCCGTGCTGCTCGGCCCCATCGCCAAGGCCCACCAGCTCAGCTCGATCGATTGGGGGTGGGTCTTGACCCCGCACGTCGACAAATCAGGTGGGCTTCAGATAGGGCGGTATGAGAACAAGTTCCCATGGGGTTGGTGGAGAGGGTTTGCCCCAGTACTACGAAACCTTCGCGGCAGAGTAGGAGCAGTGCGCGTGGAGAGAGGGTCTTTACGTCTCGTGTTGAAGGCAATGCGCTTTCCGCCCGCGCCGAGCGGAGGCCGTGAACATCGTGAGCCATGGCAGCGGAAGGTGAGATCGATGATGTGGCCATATTCACTGGTGGGGTCCACAAGCGCACGCTGGTCAACTGTATTCCGCGGCGAGTTGAACGGTCAGCTAGCCGAGACCCCACAGGTGACGGGCATGTACCATGTGCACGAATTCAACTACACAAGTGAGATGGTAGCACCTGGTCTTCGAGCGCACGGTATGTGCGCTATCAACACATTTCTCCCGACGGGCGTTCTCACGTGCTACAACAGAGGGGTGGTGAAGACAAGCGACTACAGCATGGTACCTCAAGAGTGGCACAAGGCTGCGATGTGGTGCAGGACATTGACACGGTCGGAGGGGCGTCTTCAGCTACACAGCCAGAGTGCGGTGGGGGGTCATCTACGACGGGGAGCATGTTTCATCGACGTGATTGGTCTGCCATATGAGCTGATCAAGCAGACAAAGGTCAGCAACGATATGATGATTACAAAGATGCTCCAGCTCGGTGATCGACGGCCCGAATTTGTGGCGACGGTTGAATCACAACTACGACGGCGCCTCCATCAGCTTCGAGCGCCCCTATGGGGCGAGGTCCTAGAGTTTGCCAAAGCAGCAATGCACGACGCCCTCGAGGCAGGCGCAGGGAAGCACTGGCGGGGCACTGTAGGCTATGTGGTGGACCACACCGAGCAGACGATAGTTGTCAGAAAGTTACTTCGACCGCGACGTGATACATGTGAGAAGTTTCGGTCATCTCATGGCCGACAGATATTATTCCGAGCAGGATGTTCCAGTAATCAATGTACGATTTGTGGCGCAGTATTCTGTTCTGAACACATGAGTGCTGCTGTGGAGCGTGGGATGTGCGTGGACAGATCTCGATCAGCGGCGTTCGTCCAAATGCAAACGACACGATGCCGACTACGTGAATTTGCTGCGGAGGAACCTCAAGCATTGTGGCAACACATTCGGAGTGCCCATCTGGCCGCACATCGCGACGGCCATCTTATCGTGCTGGGGGTCGTGGCTGATCACGGGAGATGTGCTGAAGAAGGGAGAGAAGGAGCCCAAGCGCGGCAAGTCCAAGGAGTCGGACGACTTCGGCACCAAGAA